GTTCAGAAAAAGTCATCACTGACCCAATCATAGATTTCCACAAATAGGTCTGCTCAGAATTTGTAACTGGTATTTGCTGAAAGGTCAATTACCCCCATGTCTAGGTATCTCTAAGTCTGTATTTTCTTCAATTGGACTTTCTTCCCTGGATCTTGTAGACTATTATTTTAAAATTATCACCATTTAAAAGTTGAACTGGCTAATACTATTCATACTTATCATCAAATGACAATTGTAGGTGTTAAAAATGTTTATACTTAAAAGGTGAAAAGTAGGGGTTCTGTTTAAAATTACTTTTTCAAATGTGGGTTACTTTTTTGCATAATATACGTGGGATATCTTCTTTCTCAATAATTAAATATAATATACATATTCTCTTAACCACTTTTATCACTATGAATTACCCTTTAATGTCACCATTTTCCCTCTAAAGGATCAGCCTGATAATATCTTAAAATTGATTAAACAATGACTAGCTTTTAAATAGTAAGTCAATACTTTTCTAGTTTCTAAGGGTTTATCAAGATCTCAAATCCTAGCCAAAATCCTTAAATTAAAAAGCTTAAAGGAAATAAACATTTAACCCAAATAACTAAAATTCATTTAAAATATAGAGCCCTCAGATTATTGTATCTATTCAAAGACCCTTTAAATACAGCTTTAATTTCATAGTCCAAATGAGAAATCTCTTTTTAATTTGGAATTTGAAATTCATTTCATAGACTGCCTAGGAAAGCTTAAAGAAAAAATAGGATTGGTCCTGACTTTTCCTTACATTGGAGGTAATATTGTTACAGCTGAATCTTTGATAAATAGGAAGTCATCCACATATAATGGGATCTTGTTCACCATGCTCCCAGTCTCTTTTCTCCTGCCCCATTTATTGCTGTCAGAAATACATCCAAACAATGATAAAATATAAGAAGTGGACATGCAGTCTCATGTATTCCTAATATAAGAGTCAGAGCAAAATCGATCATGTCTTACAAATACTATTATAATTAAAATACATGTATGTATATATCTATATCAGTGAGCAAAGACATACCATCACTCTTAAACCTGTGTCTTCATTGTCCATAAACAAAAATATAGAGAATAAATTTAAGGGAAAAAATGTTCCCACAAACCCAACATGTAACCCTCTCATATTAAAGTTAATAGCCCCTACCCACTGCTCCTGCTTAAAAAAAAAAAAGTATTTTTTAAATCTGGTTTTCTTGAGGTTCTATGATTTCAGCTATTTTAAACATCTACTGACAGAACCTTTAGTTATCTATCTTGTCAATTTTTCAGTGTGCCTTTATTAAGTGCAGGACCTCATGTTACAAGAAATTTAAGAGTTTTTTAAAAAAATAAGAACCTTTACTAAGATCTTTTTCTACATGAGGATAAAATATATTTTGGAACCTGAATACATACATTCATACTTCATTTAATATATAGAAACTAGAGGCCCAGTGCACAAAAATTTGTGCACTGGGGGGGATGGGGGGTCCCTCAGCCCAGCCTGTGCCCTCTCACAGTCTGGGACCCCTCGGGGGATGTCCACCTGCCGGCTTAGGCCCGCTCCCCGGGGGATCGGGCCTAAGCTGGCAGTCAGACATCCCTCTGGCAGCCCGGGAGCCCTTGGGGGATGTCCACTTGCCAGCGGGGAGCAGGCCTAAGCTGCAGTCGGACATCCTTAGCGCTGCTGAGG